CAGATGTGTGTGTGTGTGTGTGTGTGTGTGTGTGTGACATTTTCATATGCAACGGTACTTGTTGGTATGTTTCTGTAGATGTACTATAAACACTATAGAGTACTTTTAATCAACAAGGAAGCATTAAATTGATCAAAAGTGATGGCAAAGACATTAAAAATGTTACAAAAGATTTCTATTTCAAATAAATGCGGTTCTTTTGAACGTTCTATTCATTAAAGAATTTTGAATGGTTTCCACAAAAAAATACAAATTTAAACTGAAGACTGGAGTAATGGTGCTGAAAATTCAGCTTTGCATCACAGGAATAAATTACATTTTAAAATATATCACAATAGAAAAGAGTTATTCTGAATTTGAATAATATTTTACAATTTTTTAAATGTATTTTCGATCTAATAAATGCAGCCTTGGTGAGCAGAAGAGACTTTCAAAGCTTTCAAAAACATTACATAATCTTATACCCACCCCAAACCTTTGAACAACCATTCTAAAGTTTTGGGTCAGTAAGTAGAAATTAATACTTTCATTCAGCAAGGATGCATTAAATTGATTAAAAGTGAAAGTAAAGATTTTTATAATGTTTCAAAAGATTGCTATTTCAAATAAATGTTGTTCTTTTTTCAAGATTCAAATAATCCTGAAATCCTGGCACGGAAGACTGGAGTAATGATGCTGAAAAATGCAGCATTGCATCACAGGAATAAATTACATTTAAAATTATTTTCACATAGAAAGCGGTTATTTTCAATTGCAATTTTTTTATATATATTTTTGATTAAATAAATGCAGCCTTGGTGAGCAGAAGAGACTTCTTTCTAAAACATTACATAATCCTGCCAAGTTTTGAACAGTAGTGTAATAATATAAAAATACTCTCATGTTATCATCTGATACCATCACTTTTAAAGGTCTAAATCGAAAAAAAAAAAGATGGAAAGAAAGTCGAAAACACTAGAAACAGTCCTTAAATGTGTTTTATCCTTAAATACGGAGGACTACAAGACACTAGTTAGATTCCAGTCCAAAGCTGTGTGTTTGAAAAGCAGAAAAGCAGACAGCATGTCTACAGGGGAAAAGAAACACACACGCAGGCTGTGCTGTCAGTGTGACGGTGTGCAGTCCTCCTCTGCTGTGTGTTTGTCAGAACTAGGGTTGTGACGGTGAGGAAATTTTCCCACCGGTTAATCGACGTGTGACAACACCAATAATACCGTATCACCGCAGGCGGGGGCGTTCCCTCTTTTCCTCGCGATCCTTCGCTTTTAAATAGCTTGCAAAAGCAGCGTGCGCATTTTACTTTCACTTTCGAATAGCGGCAATTCGGCGTAAAGCAATTGTTCGTTTGAATTTTCCCTCTTTTCCTCGCTTTCCTTCGCTTTTAAATAGCTTAAAAGCACCATGCGCATTTTCGAATTAGCGGCAATTCGGCGTCAATTGCTTGAATGCAAATAAAATACAAAGCCTATACATAAAACATAGAACTTTTATTAACAAAACAAATAAAAATACACTATGCTATAGGGCAGGCTATGCCTAATATAAAATAACAAATAACTTACATAAAGTTTAAATAGGTAGCCTATACAAAACTGGAAATAAGTAAACATGTATAATACAGTATATAACCAAATAAATCAGAAACATAGAAAGTTTATTAGCAAAACGAATAAGAAAGCTTGGAGGCACGGCATACACCTTGATGTCAAATAAAATAAAAAAAATTACACAAAGCATAACGTAAAAATCAGCAAACACTGTGGAACCAATTAAATAAGAAACGAATGTTTAAAAAAA